CAGATTTCTTTCTTTTTGAGATGGAGCCTCACTCTGTTGCCCAGGCTGGAGTGCAGTGGCATGATCTCGATTCACTGTAACCTCTGCCTCCTGGGTTCAGGCAATTCTCCTGCCTTGGCCTCCCGAGCAGCTGGGATTATAGGTGCCTGACACTACCCCTGGCTAATTTTTGTATTTTCAGTAGAGACAAGATTTTGCCATGTTGGCCAGGCTGGTCTCAAACTTCTAATCTCAGATGCTCCTCCTGCCTTGGCCTCCCAAAGTGCTGGGATTACAGGTGTGAGCCACTGTACCTGGCCATTAAAGCAGATTTCTAACAAAGGCAGTCTGTAACTTTATTGAGGTTTCTCAATGTCTCATGTATATTTCACTATATGGGTCTTAAAATAGAGAAGACAGTGCTTACTATAAAATACTAATTATAGGTTTGTGTGGGTGTGTGTGTATGTGTGTGTGTGTTTCTAACAGGGTCTTGCTGTGTTGCCCAGGCTGGTCTTGAACTTCTTGGGCTCAAGTGATCCTCCCACCTCAGCCTCCTAAGTAGCTAGGATTACAAGCATACACAACACACCCCAGTTTAAAATATAAATTATAAATTATATATGAGGTTAGTATGCCAAAGGAGGAAATGTGAAAATAGCATAGGTTAGACTATTAAATAGGACAAATAAATCATTGAGTTACGTAAAGGGATAGTATATTACATCTGAACATCTCTTAGGTTTTTAAAATATTGTGTTAACTTTCAAGTGACATTTTATCACATTGAATTAACTCCAACCTTAATTTTTTTAAATTCTCAGATATTTAGGATAATGAAGGAGATAGTATAGTGTGAATTTTCCCAAATAAAAAATTATACTTAATATACAGCAGTGCAATATAACTCTAAAAGCAACTAAATTGGGAAGTTGTCTAGCGCAGTGCTTCTCAGACTTTAATGCACATGTGAATTATGTAGAGATCTTGACAGAATGCAGATTTTGATTCACTTGGTATGGATGGTACCTGAGATATCCTGCATTTGTAACAAGTTCCTAGGTGGTACTGATGCTGCCTTTCTGCGTGAATAGCAAGGAGATTAACCTGTAACTCTGAATTTTTAAAAAAGTTTTTCTTGATGCATAATAGATGTATCATTTTTCTTGATACATAATAGGTGTATCAAAATGCATGTACATATTTTGGGGGTACACATATAATACTTTGATACATTCATATAAGATATGATCAAACCAAGGTAATTGGGATATCCATCACCTTAAACATTTTTCTTTATGCTGGGAATATTCAAATTCTCCTTTTCTAGCTGGTTTTGAAATATACAGTAGATTAATTATAGTCACCCTATAGACCTTACTCTGGGTCTCATTTCTTCTATCTTAACTGTATTTTTGTATTAATCAACCTCATTTTATCCCCTGGCCCCCAGCCTCTTGTAATCACCAGTTTACTCTCTGTTCTCATGAGATCCACTTTTTTAGTTCCCACATATGAGTGAGACCATACGATATTTCTCTCTCTGTGCCTGCCTTATTTCACTTCACATAATGACCTCCAGTTTCATTCATGTTGCTGCGAATGATAGGATTTATTCCTTTTTGTGGCCGAATAATGTTCCCTTGTGTATATATACCACATTTTCTTTATTCATCCATTGATAGACATTTGGATTGATTTCATATTTTGATTGTTGTGAATAGTGCTGCAGTAAATATGGGATTGCAGATAACTCTTCATTATATTGTTTTCCTTTCTTTTGGATATATACCCAATAGTGAAATTGCTGGATTGTATGGTAGTTCTATTTTAGGTTTGTTTTTGTTTTTGAGGTGGGGTCTTGTTCTGTTGCCTGGACTGGTCTTGAGCAACTTGGCTCAAATTGTCCTCCCACTTCAGCTTCCTGGGTAACGGATTATAGGTGCACACCTATAAGCACTTGTCTTATTTTTAGTTTTTTTGAGGAGCCATACTAATTTCATATCTAAATTTTTAAAATAATAATCTTCTGTTCAATCAGCTGTATCATTTGAACTGCTTAGATCAAAATACTTTGGAGTTATCCTGGATCCTTGCCCTCTAACAAATATTCCACATTGAATTTACCAGCAAATCCTGATGGCTGTATTTTCAAAACATCTGACATCTGAGTACATTTCATCACCTTTGCTACCACTATGGTATGAGCCACATCTATCTGTCTCCTAGATTATTGCAGTAGTCTCCTTGCTGGCCTCTGCTTTTTCCCTTGCTTCCTCTGTTCAGAAACCGCTAGTCACTCATGTCACTCAGAGAAGCCAGTCTTACCTTAGCCTAGAAGGTGCTCCATGATCTTATATTACCTCTCTGTCCTCATCTACTACTTTTCTTCTTTCACTGTATTCTAGTCATTCATCTCTTGTTGTTCCTTGAACATACCAGACATGCCTTAGGACTTTCATATTGGCTATTCTCTGCCAAGAAAGCTCAACCTGGAAGCACTGGATGATATTCACATACCTGTCTCCCTTACTGCTTTTTGATTGCCAGTTCAAATGTCCCTTTATCACAGAAGCTTTCCCTGAGTATTCTGTATGAAACAACAGCTTTCTCTGTTTTTATTCCTTAATAGCCACACTGTTTTTAATTTTTCTCAATAGCACTTCTCAACATCTAACATATTAGATATTTTACTTATTATTTTGTTTATTTTGTCTTCACCACTAGAGCATAAAGGTAGAGATTTCTGCCTTGTTCAATACTAAGAGAATTGACTAGTATACCTATAGTATTCTATAAATCTTGGAGCTAAAAAAAGAAAAAAAAAATCCCATGAAAGGTCATTGGGCCTTTGCTTGAATACTTTCATTGATAGATTATTCTACCTCCCTTCAGAACAGTTCATTTTATTTGAAGATAATTGCTAATGTTCTTCTTAAGCTTTCTGTTCTTCCAAACTAAACATTCTTACTAGTTTACCTTTCTGCATGTGATAGGGTTTCCAGGGCTGTCACCATTTTAGTCATCTTCCCTGTACATTTATCATTATGTTGTTTGTCCTTAAATACCAGAACTAAAACAAGTGAGTTTGCACCAGAACTAAAACAAATGTTGCACACATAGGCTAAGAGTGGGAAATATTCCTCATCCAACTTTTATTATCAGATTGATTGGATTGAAAAAATTTTTTAGATTCTAATGCTCACTCATTTTGAGGTTGTATTTAATCTGCCACAACCTTTAAATCATTCTTACATATGCTACTAAGTTTCTTCTGCTTTTACAGTTGGTTTTTGAACTATAAGTGTGGGACTTTGTATTTCTCCTTATTTAACCAAATAGGGAATTCTCCTGGGCAGTTCATACCTTTAATGTAGAAACTACCATATGTAAATTATTTTAGAAACTAATAGAAAAATCAATTCACATACATATAGGAGAATCACAACTGATGAAATCAGGGATTTCTTGTGCCTAGATATAAATGCATATTTGGACATTTCATTGCAATTATGTCTTTCATCAGTTCAGGAAGGAATAGTAAGAGTTGATTTAAGTCTAGATGCAGTGGGTCATGCCTGTAATTCCAGCACTTTGGGAGGTGGAGGCAAGAGGATCGCTTGAGCCGAGGGGTTGGAGACCAGCCTGGGCAACACAGCAAGACCCCATCTTTTAGGAAAAAAGAGTTGATTAAAAAAAAAGTTACTGTATAAATTTCTTCCCTTTGACTGCCAAATTAACATCCTTTCCCACTTTCTCATTTTTACCTCTTTATAAGCACCATTTTCCTAGTCTTTTAGGTCAAGATATTGTCTCCTTCACTGTATTTGCTCACCAAATCTCAGAAATTCTTCAGCCCTTTAATTTCGTGCTTTTCAAATTTACTTCACAGCCAGTTACTTTAACTATACAAATCTCTCTGCTTATAATCTCTTTCCATTGTAATCCAATCCATACTTGGCTGGCATATCAATCTTTTTTTAAAAAAATCCACTTGTATCACTTTTATCTTGTCACTCTTCTTCAGAGAATCTGTAAGATTGAATCTGAGGTTCTCAGTCATTAGTGATCCATCTATAATCTAGCCACACTTGATTTACATTGCTCTGCTTATTTCTTTTTTATTACCTCTCACTGTGATTTTCAGATAAAATTCATGGCTTACATGCCAACCCCCTCCTCAATAGAGACACACACATACACACACACAACTGTTTCCTTGGTAGATACACACACACACAAACACACACACACACTTTCTCTCACCCTCACCCACTCTTTTCTCCCACCCACTCAATTGTGAGATTGGCCTAGCTAAATGCTACTTTATTTCTCCATACTATGTTGCTCCTTGAATGCCTGAAGTTCCTCAACACATACAACCTATCACATTCTCTGAAAACTCCATTCCAAATTGATCTCTGTTCCTTAAGCTTCAATTGCATTTATGTCTGTGCCACAAAATGTATCATTTAGGCTTTGTTGCTTAATAGTTATATGAGGCTTTTCCTTTCCTTTTTTTTTTTTTTTTTTTTTGAGACAGAGTCTTGCTCTGTCGCCCAGGCTGGAGTGCAGTGGCGCAATCTTGGCTCACTGTAAGCTTTGCCTCCTGGGTTCATGCCATTCTCCTGCCTCAGCCTCCCGAGCAGCTGAGACCTCCCGGGCAGCTGCCTGCCACCATGCCCGGCTAATTTTTTGTGTTTTTAGTAGAGACGGGGTTTCACCGTGTTAGCCAGGCTGGTCTCAGTCTCCTGACCTTGTGATCCGCCCGCCTCGGCCTCCCAAAGTGCTGGGATTACAGGCATGAGCCGCCGTGCAGGGCCAAGGCTTTTCATTTCAATAAGACTGTGCATTTGGATAGCAAGGAGTATAAAGAGTACTGGATTATCCACAAACTGTTTGGCTTGGCTCGTACTGTGTTCTTTTATGTGTAAAATAATTTCTTACAGTTTAGGATTTTTTTTTTTAATTGATACTATTGGAAGAAGGCAAACATAAAAATTCTCTGATTTATCTTATAGGAAACCCTTTTCTAAAGAGAAATGAAGAAGAAAACTGTATATACCCTAAATATGGGAGATAAGAAGTATGAAGACATGGAAGGTAACTTTTCATTTTTATAGAGTTTGTTGAAAGCAAAACAGTTGTTTCCAAACTGTTCACTTGTATACATTTCAAAATACACAGGAGGTTTTTTTTGTTGTTGTTCTTAAATTCCAAAATAAGCTAAGTATACATGTTTTTTTCTTCCCATATCTTATTTTCAATTGATCAAATTTTTTGATTTGTTACTTTTTTCTTAAAGCTTTACTCTCTACTGGTTTAGGAATTACTGTTTTTGTTTTTGTCCTTGTCTTTTTAAAAAAGAAAAAAGTTAGCTTTAATACTGTCCTCTGCTTCTAAAGCTAATTTAATTTTCACTACCAACAGAAGAACCCAAGAATGCTTTAACTCTGATCATCCTAATCTCAATTTATAGGTTATAGTTCCATTATTTGAGTTCTTTTATTTCAGACACCACCAGTTAGATGATGTTTTATGCTATGTTTGCTTGAGTTTATTTCCTCTTTATTTCTTTTTTTTCTGAAAATAAATCTGAGAAGTTTCAGTAGTCAAGGTCTATTGGTGGTAAACTCTTTAAGTTTTTGTATCTATTTTATCCACTTAAAACTATTCAAAGATAGTTTTACTGGGTATATAATTCTGGAATGATAGTTTTTTTTCTCTTAGCACTTTGAAGATATTATTTAATCTTTTTTTTTCCTTGCTGTCTGGAAATTTCTTCGCAGTCTAATTATCATTCTTTTTCGTAGGTGATCTTTTCCCATTTTCTGCTTTTAAGGTCTTGGTTTCGTCTTCGATATTTTAGTTTTACTCCATTGTTTCTAGGCATGAATTGTTTTTATGTGTTTTAACAGTATACATTGTGTTTCCTTTGTCTGTTGGTTCATGTTTTTAATCATTTCCCAACCATTACCTCTTTACTGCCTTTCCTTTATTCTCTTTTGGATTTCAATTAGTATGGTAGACCTTTCTGTAACCTCATTTCTTAACCTCTGTTTCACAGGCTATGTCTTATATTTCCTTTTCTGTCTGCTAGAGTCTAGTTAGTTTCCTCAGATTTGTCTTCTAATTCACAAGTATTTTTCTTGGATCTAATCTGCTGATTGTCCATTTTATGTGATATTTGAAACTTCTGATATTTGAAGTTAGTGGATTTCTAAATGTGTTTCCTGCTGCTTCTCATGCAAGACAGCTTATTTTCTTAGGTTTGGTAATGTTTGATTAGGAGCTCACATTTGATAAATTAAATCTATAAGGGCCTAATTTAGGTATTCTTTCCTGTAGAGGATTTGTATCTGTTTCTTCCCAGGTCCATGCTGGGCCCTCTTTAGCCCCATTTAAGAGTCTTGGCTTGACATTGGAGTCTATCAGGATTAGTTTTCCTTCCTGGAGTGGTTCTAAGGCTTAGTCTCCAGATCTAAACACTAGTTTGGACAATTGTGCTCAGGACAATTCCAACTTTGCTTGATATTTACTGTTCACATTTCAGCTGACCATTCCTTTATTTTTGTTTTATTTTTATCTTCAATTTCAGAGTATCTTTTATTTTCTTATGAGCCAGTGATGCATACTTTTGTATGAGTTGGTTACATTACTGGTGGGAGTTTAAAGTAGTACAAATCCTAAGGACAATAATTTGGCAATACCTATTCATAATACAAATGTATACACACATTACTCTAGCAGTTCCATTTTTAGGAACTTACGCTACAGATATACTTTTAAAAATGTGAAATAACTAAATTTTTATTGCAACATTGTTTGTCATAGCCAAAAGTTGAAAACAAGTGAATGTCCATCAGTAGATTTGAATGAAGGAAAAAGCAGACTGGTGTGTATAGTATTCTTGCATTTGTGTAAAGGAAGGAATATGGAAGAGTTTGCATTAGCATTTGTTTTTCTGTACATTAAAAATTCTTAGGAAGAACACAAAAGAAATTTAACAGTTGTTACTTATTGGATTAGTTGTTAGTAGATGGGGATAAATTTGAATGAGAAATTTGCTCTTAAATTTTTGAACTGTGTGAATATTACTCACTTTAAATTTAATTAATGAAAAGTTTGTTTCACTCCCCTGTTAAAAAAAATATACAAGAAAATGTTGGGCTCAAGCAGTATGTTTGTTATAATTTATTTAAGATCTATTTGCTTTATAGTAGGAGGGCCCTTTAGAGTATCTAATCCACTATACTCCTAGAAATGCAAGATTTTTGGTCTGGAGAACTTGAAAGCACATATGGCTGTTTTACCTTAACAGGTGAAGAAAACGGAGATAATACTGTTCCTACTGGTCTGTTGTACAGTGAGGCTGACAGATGCCCAATATGTCTTAATTGTCTATTAGAAAAGGAAGTTGGTTTTCCAGAAAGCTGTAATCATGTCTTCTGTATGACTTGTATTCTTAAATGGGCAGAGGTAAGTCTGACACATTAATGTATTTTAATTTCCTAGCATGATTTTATTTCACCTAAAAAGTTGATACTGCCTTTCATAAATTATTTCACAGTAATGTATTTTCTTCCTACTTTGGACAAATTTCCTTTTATTATTCAAATTCTGTCAGTCATTTTCTTCTAATTTTCTTTTATCAGCTTTTTACTTTGCAAATAACATTTTAAATGCATATTCTTTTTTAAAAAGTTAATAACCTTACAGGAAGAACAGATCAAACCATTTTTTTTCTGGTAGAAATGCAGTAATTAATTTTTCAGTGTACTTTACTCTGTACTTAATAGGATAATATCTGTTTATCACTAATAACACCTTCTGTCTGCTTTTTGTTTTGTATTTTTCAGGGACTTTTCACATAGGTTATTTGATTTCTTCTTTATATCAGCCTTGTGGAATAACCAGAGCAGATACGATAGTGTCCTTCCATTTTACAGATGAGGAAACTTGGATTTTATGTTCTATGACTTGGTCAAGATCTCATAGTTTAAGAGGCAGAAGTGAATTTAGAACTGATTTTCTAATTCCTGTTTTTAATTTAGTATGGACTAATTTCAGATAGAGATATTACCGTCATAGACGGCAAATAAGAAACAAGACATTCGTGACTTTTACTGTATTATGTTGACTCAATTTGGGCCAAATACTTTGAAGTAAATATTAATTTAATATAAGCCTTATTATGAAATGTTAAGTACAAAATTATTGTTCATATTAATCATGCTATATTTTCTGAGTTAATATTTGTCTGTAAAAATTAGTAAAGAAGATAATATCTTAAAAATATTTTAACATTAGCTGCATTCAAATTGTTAATGTTCTTAAATACGTTGGAATTAATTGCATATTACATAATTGGGGTTTTCAAAGCGCTATATTTTGCTTAAATTTTCATTAATAGTGTAGAAAGGAGAATATAACTGTATAGTGACTCTGGCTGAGTTCTCAGAAGAGGGAAGAGAAGATTTATTATACAAATTGAATTAATAATAGTATACATAGAAACTATTTTAATTTAGTAAAACCTAAATTGATCTTTAGCAAGAGGTGACACTAAGGATAGGTGAAAATGTATTTTGGGGAAAAGTATTTTGAGTTTTGCTGAATTCATATGGTTGGTAAAAATCTCTCTGTTTGTAGGATCACTGTTTAATGAAATAATGCATATTTTTTTTTCTGCCACCCAAATAAAGATTTTTATCTGTGTTGAATTTAGTGCACATGGTTGCTTTGTGGTTAATTTTTTTTAGAGATTTTGCTTTGGGTAAAGAAATAATATTGCTGGATGAGTGGAAGGTTTCAATACAGTGCTTTTTATAAGATTGTATTTGGTGACCACATAATTGTGAACTTCAGCAACTTAATCTGAGTATATGTTTTTCTCTAAGAAAATTATAATGTATATGTAATAAGTAGATAATTGTTCTCCATCCTTTCTTGCAACTTCAAGTGCATCTTTCACACAACTTTTACCCTGATGTGCATGTTCCAGGTTTCTTTAGGGTATGTATCTAGAGATGGAATTACGGGTTGTAGATGATGCACATCCTCAACTCTACTAGATACTGGCAAACTTTTCTATATTTTTAACTCTTGTTGAATATTTTTAAATTGAAAATACTGGATAGCATACATGGTATGGCAGCCAACACCTTTCCCGCATGTAATATTTTTCAAATTTTCAAAAGAAAGTGCTTATCTTTATACTGCTATCATAAACTGTAATGCCGGGTAGGCAGGGAGGAGTTGTGATAGTGTTTAAACAAAGGTAATTAACCTTTAAAGGGGAGAATAAACAGAACATTCTGAATTATTTCATTGTCCGTGATGGGGATAGCAGTCATCAGTTAAATAAACCTTTCAGTTGAGCAATAACAAGAGAACACTCTATTAATAAATTTCTTATTATAAATTATAAGTGAATGCTGGCTAAAAAAAATCACGTAGACTAAGTTTTCAGTTTGAATCTTTTATTGCTGTGATAAAAATAGGTATGGTTTGAAGTATGTAAGTGCTTTCACAAATAGAATCAGATTTCAAATTCAGGAATATATTCCTTTTTTTCATCATTATAAATTAAGTTCCATCCTCTCTTTTCCGTCAATCTCCTTCCATCTTGAAAGCAAAGTTTACAGTTTACTTTGGATTTCAGGATCAGGAATAAGTGTCTTCAGTCTTCTAACAGGCCATGCCTTATGCCTAGGCTTTCATACACATTCTAACGTTTCATTTCATTTAATTCACTATGTTAATATTTGTTTGCTATACAAGACAAGGATTCTAAACTTATGATTTTTAAGAGCCTCAAGGGATAGCCTGAAGTTAAAATTTTTTTTTTTTTTTTTTTGAGGCGGAGTCTTGCTCTGCCGCCCAGGTTGGAGTGCAGTGGCCGGATCTCAGCTCACTGCAAGCTCCGCCTCCCGGGTTCACGCCGTTCTCCGGCCTCGGCCTCCCGAGTAGCTGGGACTACAGGCGCCCGCCACCTCGCCCGGCTAGTTTTTTGTATTTTTAGTAGAGACGGGGTTTCACCGTGTTAGCCAGGATGGTCTCGATCTCCTGACCTCGTGATCCGCCCGTCTCGGCCTATTTTTTAAAAATTGCTCTGTGGTTTACAATTTTACGAATGTTCACCTTTTTTTTTTTTTTTTTTTTTGAGACAGAGTCTCACTCTGTCACCCAGGCTGGAGTGCAGTGGCACCATCTCAGCTCACTGCAACTTCTGCCTCCCAGGCCAAGCGATTCTTGTGCCACAGCTCCTGAGTAACTGGGATTACAGGCGCGTGCCACCATGTCAGGCTCATTTTTTGTATTTTCAGTAGAGACAGAGTTTTGCCGAGTTGGCCAAGCTGGCCTCAAACTCCTGACCTCAAGTGACCCACTCACCTCAGCTTCCCAAAGTGCTGGAATGAATGTTCACTTATAGTAGTAGAGTAGAAATCAAAGTGAGATTTACAGTGGTTGGAAATCTGCATAATAAGGGAACGTACAATTTGCATTTAGGATCCTCTTTCTAGATTTCTGTATCTTTCAAAATTTCTGTGCTTTCTGAGATTTCTACCCAAGGTTCACTGAAATATGATTCAGACTGGATATTAAGCACCAAAAAAGGACTCATGTATTTACTTTCACCTTAATGTTTTAGGCATCGAACACATTCTTACAAACACTGGTCTGTAAGAAGCTGGTGTTTTGAGAAATTAAAGTGTGTTGTGGTCTAGTATATTTATTTTGGACACGTAGATCAAAGTTAGTTTCAGTCTTTTCAAGCTCTAAAATTTTGGTTCTGTGGTTAAACAAAACCTATGTAAGAACTTTAAAGTGATTGAGTAAAAGTCTTTAGGTATGTCACAGTCCTCTTTACTTAGGGCAAAAGGTTTCAGAGTGAACCCGTGGTAGCCTTCATGGCCCATAGCCTAATTGCCTGCCCTTAGGGACACTAGAGCAAATTGAAATTAATCATGTCCACTATGATTATCTTTAGTTTCAAGGAATTCATACATGGTAAGCCTGTTGATTTATAAAATAATGATGATTATATAGAAATGGAATATTAAACAATGACACAATAATTGACATTAAGGAAGGCTGAAATTGTTAATTTAAACCATCACTGTTAGAGCCAACAATCTGAAATTAAACAAAAGATATTTGAACTGATGAAATGTATATAGAGCCAGTATGCTAAAGCATATCTGCTATTCATTAGGAAGTTATTTATTTTACCCATATGGTGGGCAAAAACAATCTGTGCTTATTGATAGCTTTTAATAAATGTGTCTGAGTTTGCATACTTTAGGAAGGTAAAGGACAGAGAAGTCTTGACACACATTGTAGTAGCGACAATTGATTATGATTTCCTACGGACAAGATAATCTCTAACACACACAGGTTGAGTAAATGGGATTTATTGGCCAGGCATGATGGCTCACGCCTCTAATACCAGCACTTTGGGAGGCCAAGGAGGACGGATCACTTGAGCCCAGGAGTTCAAGACCAGCCTGGGCAACATGGCAAGAGCTCATCTCTACCGGAAAAAAATAAATAAATAAAATTAGCCAGGCATGGTAGAGTATGCCTATAGTCCCAGTTACTTGGGAAGCTGAGGTGGGAAGGTTGGAGGGTCACTTGAGCCTGGGAGGTTGAGACTACAGTGAGCTGTGATTATGCCGCTGCACTTCAGCCTGGGTGACAAAATAAGATCCTGTCTCAAAAAAAAAGAGAAAGTGGGATTCATTATTCCCACAGTTGCCAAGAAGTGATTAAAAATTTGGCCCTTCAAAGGTCATGGTTTGAAGACATATGTTTAAAGCATTTAAGAGTTCTTATACTATTTAATGGAACCTGCAGTATATGTGATGAGGATGTTCTGGATGTCTGCTGGCATTCTTTTCCCTTTTACATAATATAAAATATTTCCCTTATCTTTTAAGTATTATTTTTAAAAATGTGATTAGTTTCCCATTATAAGCAAAGTATTCTCCCTCAATTTATTTACTTCAGTCATCTATTTTGTATCAAATGCTGACAGCTTCAGTATGAGTAAGGTTAATGAAATCAAAATTGGGCAGTTGGCAAAGGCATGGTTTCTCTCATAAACTAGAAATGAAGTGTCTTATTAAGGTGACATTCAGTCCTTGAAGAAGTCAGACAACAATGTTCAACATAGATGAGGATTATATTTTTGAATTAATAATACCAAAAAATCAAGATGTGAGTTCTTATATCTGAACTTATGATTATCATTAAGTCCAGAACTTATATCTGGACTGCAAATGTGTTTTATATGCAGGTTTCTTTATGCAGTAAGTGGACATTTGTCCATTCTGGTCGTTAGACTACTTTTAAGTAATATAATTCAGTAAAGCTTTGTCTAGAATTTTCAATCAGTTTTTCCTCAAATTTTAATTTAAATAAAATTAGCCAGAACTAACTCAGACTCCTCTGTTATGTAGCTCTCTGTGGACAGT